GGGTGGGGGGTGAGTATTATGGTCTGGCCTAGGCCTGTTTTTGTGTGCGGTGGCTCCCCCACCTCCCTCCCCCAATCCACACAAGCTTTGTGTGTGTGTGTGTGTGTGTGTGTGCGTGCGTGCATCGACAGCGCAGCTCGACGTGCGCAGACTGTGATGTATATCAGGGAAATAGTATCTTCAGGTGCAGAGTGACTCACATACAAGAAGGTTGTGAGACCCGAGAGACGAGGCAAGCACAAAGACACAGAGGCAGAGTGGCAGCTGGGAATTCATCAAAAAAACTTCACTGGCAAACTATCTGAACAGCACACTGAGCACAATACACTCCCTGTCCCCTGTAATGTAAATTACCGAGGCAGCGATGGAGCCTTGAACGTGTTTATATGCGGTGGTTTGCCTTGTGTAACTGCCCAAACTACTGTAGATCCTTTGCAGCGTCCTTTTGTGCTGATAAAAAATGTCAGCTTTTCTTGAAACTCATTACATTGTCCGCAGTTAAACCAAATTAGATATACATGAGGGAGTTTGTAATGTAACGTGATATGGAAGCTTGATCAGCATCGATTCCAAACTGCATTAAAAAAAAAAAAAATGGCTGAAGAATCATTGACACAGACGTTGTCACAACTGGATTTGGCTTTCGGCCTGGCTGACTGCAGTTCCCACACTGTGTGCACTGGGACCAGTCGGATTGTGACTAGGAGGGACAAGGGCGCTCTAGCCGTGACAGAAAGACATTACAACAGACTGGCGAATCGGAAAATTTCCATCTCCGTGCCATTAAGCAACAAATGCCAGGAGATCCAATCTGTACATATTCCCTTTATAATTATATAACACAAAGACAAGCAGCAAATCCTCACATTTGAGAAGCCGGAAGGAGTAAATGTTTGGCTTTCTTTAGCCACAGTGGCAGCGTGGCTTTATAAATGGCAATAATGGTCCACTACAGACAGTTAATAATAACTTCAGTGATTAGCTGACTTGCCATTTAGCGCCACCAGCAGGTCAAAGTTCCACTTACCCACTGAAATATCTCAACGTCTACAGGATGGATTGGCCCAAGATTGTGTACAGACACTTATGGTTACCAGAGGATGAATCCTACTGATTTTGGTGATCCCCTGACGTTTCCTCTAGCGCCACCATGAGGCTGGCATTTGTGGTTTTAAGATTAGATCAAATAAAATAATCCTTTACTGTACTGCTAACATGCCTGTGGACTCCTAATCCAGGGCAGACAGATTAACGATGTACAGATTAACGCCTAATTTTAATGACGAATTGGTCGGGCCGGACTAATCTTAGAATGGGTTTGAATTGCTTGAACCATTAACGACTGGCTGCTGGACAATGGGTTGGATTTGTGGCATGTCCAAAATTTCTGTCCGCTGTCTGAAGTCTTCCATGCCTTTGTTCCGACGTCCCATTATTCCAAAACCCTAATAGTCCGTAAAATGTCCCATTGGACCGAAAGTCCATTTGTCCAACAGCCTCTTGCCCACTGCTCCAAAGATACCAGCCTGGTAAGTTATGTGACGTACTTAATGTACCTTAACTTAGGTACAAAACTCTGTGGGGACTTGGAGAGTGGTACCAGTTCCACCTCCTGGGCACTGCCAAGGTGCCCTTGATGGAGGCCCCGACGGCTCGCAGGGCGCCGCTCTGTGGCAGCCTGTCACTCCACCATCTCTCCACATTTGCATGTCTTTAAGCCCGGTGTGTGCATGGTTGTACTCCGAGCCTATGTGTGTAAAAAACAATGAGTGATAACGGGATTCTCCTTCTTCTAAACCAACCGATGTAACTCACACAGTTATTTTTACCCAAATGACGACCTTTTCCTGAAACTAACCAAACTGCAACTGTTTTACAGCGTTAACCACGTATTTCATATTGATATAATGAAGCACTTAACTATGATGGCAAATAATTGCTACCATGACGATGAAGGTCATCAGATATTTGCAGGTCACACTGAGACACACTGGGAAAACTCCAGGTTTTGTGTATTTTTGGAACATTAGGCCTTTCGGAGCAGCGGGTTTCGTTTTGGGGATAACGGGCTGTCGGACAAATGGACCTTTTGCTCCAATGGGACATTTTTAGGACTATCAAGGGGTTTGGAATAATGCGTCCATGGAACAATGGGCAGTCCCCGTCCGCAGCTGAGCAGTTCAGCGGTCTGATTTCCCACATGGCTGCTGTCGAAAGATCTGTCATAAACTGCAGTGAGCTTGTTATAATATTATTGGAGTGTTTTAGCTGCACTGACTGACTCTGCTGTGATATAACTGAACTTCACCGCACTACAGACAACATTTTGTCTGCATCTTCCAGCTCGAATATTTTCCTTTTTTGGGCACAGTGTCTGCCTAGCTTAAGTCCTACTGCTCGATAATTTACCTCAACAATTTAAAGACGATCAAAATTAGTTTTCTGTCAATCGACCAATTTGTTTCAGCGCGTTACATACACACTGAGACTGGAAAGATGACACCGTTTTTTGGAAAATACGACGGGATGAAAAGGTCACGGGGCAGACTTTTTAACTCAACATCACTGGCACATCTGAGGCGTCTGGGACATCCGGACAACCTCGATGTACCAATCCAATTTCTTTGCTGTTTTTTTGTTTTGTTTTCTCCATCTGTCAACTGCTGCTGTGTGTTATCTCATGTGGCAGACATGTTGGGTCTGATCAAATCCATTTGCAATTTGTTATCTGGTGCAGCTTCAGAGCGCGTTGTGTGGGGCAGGATAGGTGGAGCGGAGATGGGTGTCTGAGCAAAGGGGGGAGGGAGGAGGGGAGGGCAGTCAAGAAGTATTATGGTATGCATTTTGACTTACATGATAATCTGACCCCGCCTGTAACCCTCCTCCACCACCAACGCCGCCACCCCTCCGCTTATCTCCATGGCGACGGGCAGCACAGGAGCACTATTATGGTCTGTAGCCTCCCCCCACCACCTCCTCCCTCCCCTCCTTTTTTTCCTTTTTGCCTCAGAAATGATATTATTATCATTATGTGATATGCAATTCTGCGAGTGTGGTGGGGGGTGGGAGGGGCGTCGAGAGCCGTGCACGAGGTTTCTATGACAACTGCCCCCAGTATCCTTCTGATTGGTGATTATGGGATGTTACC